GCAATTTTAGACTACCACATTTTTTTCCAGGGGGTGGGATTAGGATCGTTGACAATTTTTTTTTTTTTTTTTTTTGCAAACCCCACATTTTTGGCGGAAGGTTTAGCTTCAAAATCTCACCCGTATTATTTTTCACCACATTTTTTTACATTTCCAATTACACAACCTTTCATCTATGCAGTTACTATCTGTAACCTTTACTTTCTAAGGAAGCAACATCCAGAATTTCTTGCTTCTCAAGTCCACCCCTTTCTACATACACAAACACACAGAGAACTGATTTAAGACAAAAATAATCCCCCCAAAATAATAATAAAGAACTCACCTCTCCTCGGGTTTTCCCCCCCACACTATGCATAAACTTTCCTTGATAAATGGTATTGTATTACTAGAGATATTATTAATGTATTATTACTAGAAGTAATAATAATAGTAAGTGCTATTTAATTATAGAAGGCAGCATTCTGCTTCTGGATCGGCTGCCTCTGCAGCTCCCTCCATGTGCCTCCTGATCTCTTTACTTTCATTTCCAGGTCTCGCTCTCTCGCGCTCGCTCTCAGCTGCACCGGCGAGAGAAAATGCCTCCCTGCATATCCTCTGGGCCCTAGAGGCTACCGCTTTCCATTACAAAAATTCACAAATCTTTCCCTTGAGGCTGGTTTTGAGATTCTTTAAGGTGAATTAGGCTTTAAAAACAAAACAAAACAAAAATCTAAAAAATAAAGCTCTTCAGCAGTCGACTCTCCGTTCTAATTTTAATGCAACATTTTTTCTTCCTGGTTGTCTTTGCTGATATTAAAAAAAAAATACCCCAAGAGAAAGCAAAGCTGCCGCTGCAGAGGGAATGCATGCACACGAACGCGGCGAGGAAGTGAATTGTGAGACCCCCCCTGGGATTATCACATACGGGAAGCAGTGACCCTTGTGCCCACCCATTTCTGTTCGCTGGACGGGGGCCAGAGCCATCGCTGATGGCAGAGCAATTATCTGCTCCAGCCAGACCTTACTTACTCCACCCTGCACTGCTGAGGGGGTTCCCTGTAAATAAGATTATCTGAAAACATAAATCTTTGGGTGGAAAGGAATATGCATTTAAAAACAAACAAACAAAAATCAAAACAACAACAGCAACAACAACAAAACTAAACACAAAAATAAAACAAATTTCAAAAAATCTCAATATTATATTTTACACGTCTAGGAATTTTACAACCTACATATTTTTATATAGATACACACATGTATATATACATATATATGTTATATATAAGTAGATGCATATATGTAGCATTAATAAACCATATTAATATTAAATTTTATATGATTGGGTATTATACTATCTACATATATATTATATGTATGTAGATGCATATGTATTTTTATGTTTATGCATACACATGTGAATTTAGACACTTTTTGGAATCGTATTTTTGGCTTGTTTTCATCCCAAATCCCTCAATATTTCCAGAAAGTGCACTGAATCTCCAAGCAATCCATGCTAGCAGAGCCCCAGGAAGAGAACTGCTCGTGGGAAAGGGAGGTTGGGTAGGATGTGTTCTACCATGGGCAGTAGTTGTGAAGATCCAGATACACAGACCATCTTAGCTGGGGGGTCACCCATCCCCACCAAGCTGCACTAATTGCAAATAACACTCTGGAAGGAGTTTCCTGCTTGCACAGCCTCCCTGGCAGAATAGTTTCCCTCTCCCTAAAGGATTCTGTCTACCATTAGATTAATAATTTCCAGACTGACACTGGCTTAAATCACCAGCTTTTTCCCAATCTAATCAGTGACATGTTTACTCCTGAGCATCTCACTTCTCTATTTACAGTGACCCACAAGAATGTCAGCTTGTGCTTTGCAACTGTGTACTCTGCCAAGATTCAAAGGCAGATAGAAGGTAACATCTGAAGTGTACTAAACTTGCTTGATATTTAAAATGCATTGATCAGAAAAGGAAAGCCTTTATTATACTGGGTAGGATTGGCTTCTGACAGCATTGCCAACACAACAAACGGATAATTTATGAAATACAGCCTGTGACTTGTATAGGGTAGCTTATGACATTGGAGAACATTGTCTAATGCTCTTCATAATGTTTTATTACAATGCACACTTTTAGGTATTGGTTTTGATCCAAAGATTGCTACTATCCATGGATAAGACAATGTTTATTTTTATTAGCTCTTCAGAACATTTGTTATTTCTTAATTTAAGGTGGTGACACTGTGACAATGACTAGAACCTAAACTAAGCTGGGCCTCTGGTGCAGAAGCCGGAAAAAATGAACATTAAATGACAAACCCTGTTGATGGAGTGGTTTTGGGCAGAAGAAAGGTGGAGCATGTCTGGAGGCAGAAAGCAAACACAGGGAGAGCAGATATGCCAGATCACAGTGGGAGGGCAGCCCTACAGAGCCATCACCAAATGAGTCACAGAGCCCAGGAAACCTCCAACCCTGCAGCACCTGTGAAAGGAAAAGATATCAGTGCTAGATGAGAAGAAAGGTTAAGAGGAGATGAGAAAAAAGGAACAAAACCGAAATGTAGGCACAATCAAGATATGCTGGAATAAACACTACTTTTAAATTTAAGAACATTAATTTCCAAGACTGCATTTCTCATTTGAAAGTCATGTTGTGCTTTCCTCCATCCCAATTTCCTTTGTCTGTAAGACTGAGAGGTGTCCTGCAAGGTCATGATTTGGTATGTACCACTCCCCTCATGAAGTAAAATCTTTCCTTAGCGGTTAACATGAAGATTTTAACAGTTTGCAAGTGCAGTTATTGAGGTATCACTCTCTTTGACAATATTTTGCAGGTAACGTGCCAGTAATCAGCAAGAGTCAAACACTGCAAACCCCTACTACAAACCAGATACAGCGTCATAGAAGTTGCTTTGATTTGTAAAGCTATTTTTCAGGAAGAATGAATGTATGGATCTACCCTATAGTGGCGTGGTACATGTACATTCCAATATATGCATTTTCTCTTGCCCTCTGGCAAAACCAGTATTTGGGAGAATGACGGGGAAGGGAATCTGATGAATTCAATAAGATCCTGTTTGTTACTAAAAATTGTGAGGAACTAATATCCAGTGCCAAATTTCTTGCTTATATTTTCCAGGTTCAAGCTCCTCGAGATCACACTAATTTAGCTCCTCTCAGCTGTATGTATTCTTGCAGCTTTATGTGTCTCACCTACAGCCACAGTCTAGTGTCTAAGTGGTTTTTAATTTTCTTCAGTTGCAAAAGAAACTTGTCCTACTATTTATGAGGTTGGTCACCCAGCACCATCAACTACGGACATTCTTTTCTCATGTCCATATAAGCATTTACTGTTGCTTATTAAAACCACAGTTGGGAAATTTGTGAGAGACTGGAAATGCCTCTTAGAATGTTTTGGAACTAAACAGCAGAACAAATCCTACCTATGGCCCTGCTCAATAGTGATCTCACCAGGTATCTGCCACCTGGAATGCCACATACATTGGTGCCTGTAGGTTGGAGGTTGCAGAGAAGGGACAGAGGTGCCGTGCAAACCCACTCCCACTGCAGTAAAAGGCAGGTGTGTGAACAGCTCACGCTGCCTCATCCAATGTAGTTTTGTTCTAAACTCAGGAAGAAAATGTCATGCACAATGTGCACACAAGATTGTCACACAAACCCAGGCTTTTTTCCATCCTGAAGCAGGAATGACTTGCACTCCAGGGTGAAAGCGACAGATGAGAGGACATAGCCACATGCTGCACCACTGGAGGTTCACGTTGGCCATTAAGAAGAATCTTATCACAGAAAGGGTGATTGAGTATTGGGATGGGCTGCCCGGGCAGGTGGTGTTGTCACCGTCCCTGGAGGTGTTTAAAACTGGATGTGGCAGTTAGTGCCATGGTCTAGCTGATAAGGTGTTTTTTGATCATAGGTTGCACTCGACGATCTCAGAGATCTTTTCCAAGCTAACAGATTCCGTGATTCTGTGAAATGCCTTCCTTAGCAGAACGGTCTGACAGCAACATGTGAGTACGAACAGGAGACCCCAGGGACACTATCTAGGTGAAGCTTCACATCAGAAAGTCCTCGTGTCCCACCTGCGGGCTTGCGGGAGCTTCCCCAGCGACACTTCCGCCAGTGAGCGTGGCCCGGGAACAGCCCCGCCCAGCCCAGAGCAGGAACGGGACTACAGCCCCCGGCACGCCCCGCGGCCGCCGCCGCCGCGCACGCCCCGCAGCCTGGCGGCGCCGGCTGCAGTGCGGCAGCGGAGCGCGCCCCTTGACGTCGCGACGCAGCAGCCAATCCCGGAGCGGGGAGCAGAACTGCCGGCGTTCAAATCCTCCGCCTCCCCCGCCCGCCCCTCACCCAGCGGCCCCGGCGCGGCGGCAGCGGCGTGAGGCTCCCGCGCCTTCCCCGGTGGCGGAATCCCCGAGGAGGTGAGGGGAGAGGCGGCAGCCGCCGCCGTTAGCGGCCGGCGGAGGGGGCCGTGCGTGCGGGGAGGCGATCCCGCGGGCTGACGCGCCCCTGGGCCCCGCCTGCGGGGGGCGCTCCCACGCGCGCCCCTCCCACGCACAGGCGGGGGCCCCCGCTCGCGTCACGCGTGTCCGGCCGCGGGTCCCCCCACACGCTCCGGTCCCGGCGAGGGGCAGTCCGGCCGGGGGGGCGGGGGGGCGCTGGGCCTGCGCTCGGCAGCTCCCGCGGGGGAAGGGCGGCGCTGGGGGCTGTCAGCGGCCGGCGGAGCGGGCACCTCGGGCTGCCGCCCCGCGCTGCCGGGTGAGCGGCGTGTAGCTGGTGCGTTGGTTTTTGGGGTAGATGAAGTGTTGTAATTAAAGTATTCGTCTGAGCTAACTTTTTTGATCATCGGGGAACGTAAAGTTTCATACATCCCTTACGTGAAAAGGAAACCTGTCTTTAGGCCTTTAGGCATTTCCAGATCTTGGTTGATTTTGCCAAACGGACTACCTCTTCTTTCTTTCTTTCTTTTTTTTTTAATTAAATCCCAAAAGCTTTTTCAGCGTAAGAATTAACAGCAAAGAGACCTCTGGTAGGTTGACAGTTGGGTGTGGGTGACATGTGCTATAAAACATGCTTCAGGATCTGTATATTGAGATTAGGAGGTAGTCTATGTGTAAGGTGAAGAACAACAAAGGAGATTCAAGGGAAAGAGAAGCCAGGAGGATGTGAACATCTGTAAGGAAGATCATGATAGATTAGAACTTAGTTTTAAGAGTAAAGTTGTTAATTGAACTAGGTGGACAGGGCAACTTCTGCAGATATTAACTTATGTTCCTGTCTGGTAAAGCCTTCATAGTCTGGAGGATGTCCTCTTTCTTCTCAGTGTTGGATTGGCAGAGGCTGGGCGTGTCCATGAGTTTGGTATCTGGGTGTCTAGTAGGACTGGAGTAAGCTATGTGGGTTTGATGCCTGAAGTTTTAGCTTTCATGTTTTTCAGGTTCTGTACTGCCTTAGTGTGTAACTCTGAACTTCATATAAAGTGTTAGCAAGTTCTCTACACAGGCCAGGTAGACAAAACAATCCTTTTCCAGCCTGAGAACCAAGGACACCATTGTAGCTTCAGGCCCAAAAAGTGTGAACAAGAGCAAATTGAGGAGAGCCATCTGGGAGGATGGGACTTCATAACCTGAAGCTGTAATTGGACAATTAACCCCAATATGTAAATGGACAAAAACTTATAAAATATGAAACCTCGTGATCAGGTGTCCATCTTGGGTGGAGTCATGGCTGGTCTGTTGTACTGCCCAAGGTTTATCTTTTGAAGGCCTTTTAAGAAACACCTACTTTATTCCTTTAACTCTGTCTAGCCTCTGTTCAGGTAGCCACAGTAGGCATCAGTTTCTTTCTACTGGCAGCCTACTTGAGAGGATAGTCATCCTAGAAAAATTATGTTCTTCAGCCTTGGAGATTTTCACCCCCTGTTTCCAAAAGTGATATTAAAATTAAAGACCCCTGAAAAGAAGTCATACTCTTGAGAAGCTGGAGGCTTCACAGGTGGGTATCAGGAGTAAAGTATGTGGAGGAAAATATACAGTTTTCCTATAGAGAATATTTTAAAACCATCACTGTTGACCTCAAGCAGCTACAAGAGTGTGGGGTCACTTCTAATCAGACAGGAATGGAAGGGAACCAGTTTTCTGTTGTAGGAATGGAACTTCATCCCTTTTGACGTCTAAAGTCTAAGTGTGGGGTTTCTAAGCATTAGTTGTGTGTGGCCTTTTATCTCAGCAGAGACAGTGGGATAAGAAATGTACTCTATTTATCGTGCTCAATGGATGTAGGGCAGTTCCTTCAGCCAGTGATTAATATTCATTAAATAATGCTATGCAGATGCTACCAGGCATGGCTAACTTCAAACTTGTGCCTCAAGGCTAGATGCTCATTAATTTATTTTAAGTGTAAGATCATCCTGTTTAACGTGTGATGATTTGTGTGGAACATCTGAAAGGAGAGAGCACCCAGGAAGCTGAGAGAGTTTTGTATGCAGCACACACAGTGTTTTCAGCAACTCGATGGTTCTGGAACTGTGCTGACAAGGGCACTTCTGGGAATATCACTGAAAAGGAAAAGCAACTGTGTTCATTCTAGCTTCCTTTGGAGAGCAGGGGAAGCATGCAGCACATGTAATTAAAGGATGGAACTTGAAACAAGAGGGATATTGCATTGTAATTGTTAATCTTGTACAAAGAGTAATGTCTTAATGTGGCCTTAATCCATAGTTTTACCTACTGATTATTTATGAAGTATATTGTCAGTGTGGGAAGAATCAGCACCATCTGACTGGCTGGCTTTGGAGTATTAAGCTAGCTTAGCTGTCTTAATTGAGCTCTGGGGAAAAGTAGCTATGACATTGAAAACTCAATTAGATATCTGACTAACAAAAACCACATTAGTGTTCAAATAAATATGGTTGTTTGTATTGATTATGTATTGTAGTTAGAGAGTTTTTATGATGACTATTTCTTTTAATTGACAGTTCTTAACTTTTGGAAAAACTGGGAAAATGGCATCAGAAGACATCACTAAGCTTGCAGAGTCACTTGCCAAAACCAAAGTAGGTGGTGGACAGTTGAGCTTCAAAGGCCAGAGCCTTAAACTCAACACAGCTGAGGATGGTAAGAGAAAATACCCTTGTGCTTTGGAAGCATCCTCCTGAAATTGTAAAATCTTGTGGTAAACTTTCTGCGAATCCCACATGGACAAGTTATCGTAACATATCTGCCATACAGGGGTCTGTCAGCTACAAGTGCTTCTGATAGGGATGTTTCCTGCCCTTCTGGTACCCTGCTTTGACCTGGTGCCTTGGCAGTGCTGCAACTGCTGTAACTGGGGTCTGGGTGCCTGGTTTGCAGTTGTATTCTTGGTGTTCTCTCGAAGTGCTTTTGACAGTTACTGGACATTAGAAGTCAGTGTTTCTTTTAACAAGAGTAAACAAGTATATCACAGCTCTTGGAACAAGATGTGTGCAGAGGAATGGGCTGATAGATTAGCCTGCTGCAGTAGTTCACTTTCTTTCTGTTCTTATTGCCGTATGTGTGTTTCACAATAAGTCTTACAGTGGCTGCTAATGTAAATATCTGGAGAAAATGTATGTATTAGATCAACATTTCTGCCACACCAAGAAAAACAGCATGTTTTTCAGAGAGGTTATTTGTTATAGTATATAGCAAATAATATATATAGTAAATATACTATATAGTGCTTTTTTTTTTTGCTAATTCCAAAGGTGGAGCTTTTCTATAGATTGGTTTAGTAGTTCAAAGGCACTGAACTATGGGGCAAGGCCTTGGCGCTTGGGAACAACAGCAAGTGACCATTGGAAGGAGAGACTGCAGCTTGCTTCTTTGCCTTGCATAGGATTACTTCAGAGCCAAATTGTTCCACCCTGACATGTTTGCTAAACTGATATTACTTGTCAGTCAGGGGGAACTTCTTCCTGTTGATGTGACACTAATGCCCATCAGCTTTTAACTTAGTCTCTGCACCAGTCCAGGGACTCGCACTCTAGCTTTTAAAGCATGTGCTGAATGGCAGAATAATTTTATTTGGGAAATAAAGAAATCTACTTTTACAAATAGGAGGATGGCTATAAGAATAGAACAATAGAATTATGAAGGCAGGGTAGGGAATGGAGTGTGTTCTTTCTGGTGACCTGACACTTCAGCTCTGTTCCCATTGCTATTTCAGGTGTTGTTCTAGCTGTTTTTGCTAGAGGTTGAACAATTTTTACTGGATCTCAGGGTTACTGTGGTAACCAAGGCAATGGTTAAAAGACCAACTAGATTATCTGCTTCTTGCAGCTGAAGAAGTGATCAAGCAAATTGCCGAATTTGATGGCCTGGAAGCCTTGCGCCTGGAAGGCAACACAGTGGGTGTGGAGGCAGCAAAGGTTATTGCCAAAGCCTTGGAGAAGAAAAGTGAGCTCAAGGTGAGATTCTTAACTGTGGGGTAGTCAAGGAGGAGAAATAATGTGGAAATACTGAAGGCCTCTCTAGGCTCCTCCTGCAGAAACCTGCCTTGAGTTACCCCTGAAGTTTGCTTGGTGGCTCTTCCAGGAGGAAGAGCAATCTTAGGAAAATACAGCATACCTTGGACATTTTAGGATAATGGGAATACCTTCTGCATTCCTAACTTCCTGTTTAGAAGGCTTCCAGTCTTCAAGCTGGGAAGCTGTGTGAGGAAGAGCCTTTACTGAAACCAGCATCTGTAAACAAAGCCATGGCAACAAAATACTAAGTTCAAATTAAGTTCTCTGAAAAACTGAGTTGAATCTTCTGGAGAGTGAATCTTCAGAGAATGTCTCAGTAGGGAGGAAATAATGAAGGAAATGTAACAGGAGGTTCGTCTTTGCTCAAGCTATGTTTTCCTACTATTGCTCTAGCCTAATGTTAGGGGGATGCTGGGCTACTTCAGGCACTACACTGTCTCTTGAAGGAGAGTGGTACTGATTGATACACATTAATCACTCAAGTGTGGCTTTTCGAGTAAGTTCAGGTTGTTGCACTTCATACCTTAGTAAAATCTGCATTGCTAATGTATTCTGTTTCCTGATTGTTTTTTCAATGGCAATTTTCTCAGCAGAAAATAATTCCAGCTTGAACACAAACAAGAATTTTTGTATAATGTTTATAGTGTGAATTTAAGTTACTTTGTCCTTGCAAGTGAAGTGATTATAACACTGATTCTTGCAGCTCTTTAGTACAATCAAATGACAACCCAAGGGGAGATAGCATTAAGCTGTCTCCAGTGATGTAAAGAATCTTGTATGTGTAAATGTTTATTACAGCTGAGTTGACCTAAATATTTTAGTGGGTTTTATCTGTATGCTTCCTATTTTAGAGGTGTCATTGGAGTGACATGTTCACAGGCAGGCTCAGGTCTGAGATCCCTCCTGCTTTGGTAAGTAAAAACTAGATCTTAGACTTCTGACTAGTATAACTTCTTACCTGTCATGCTTTTTGTGGGAGTCTGTATTTTGGTACAGAGCTGATCCTTCTCTGTGCTGTTAGCACTAAATGTCTTAGAATAGGTGAGTGGTTCTCTTCTGCTCTTCCTGTATGAGATGGAGAGGAGTCAAAGTTTAAATATGAATCCATGCTGGTGAAGGAGCTTTTCATTGGGAAAAACTATCTTCATGACCCAGCAGATAAAGTGAAATCTAAACTTTCTAAATAAATCATATAGATATGTTTTCTAAGACTATTACAGAGTTCCTCATCTTCTTGAGTCCTGTGAAGCCACAACATAAACTCAGCATTGATGAAAACAGTATTTCTTTCAGCAGTGTGGAGCAAGAAATTCACTTTGAAAAATATTTGACCTAAAGGGATAGGATAGTGTCTTGGTAACTGCTTTATGGTTATCTTTAGCTTAATTTGTGCAACTTCCTCTCTGGATTTAGCAGTAAAAGTTATTTCCCCATGCAGCTTTGCAGAATGTCTTCAAAGTGGAAATTTTTTTTTGCAGCATCACTGTCATACCTAGCCACTGCAGTGACGCTGTCACTAAAAGTTAATCCATTCCCTCCCTCCCACTGCCATCTGTTTCCTTACAGATCTCTTTGGGGGATGCACTCATCGCTGCTGGTGCTCAGCTGGTGGAGCTGGACCTGAGTGACAATGCCTTTGGGCCAGATGGTGTGCGTGGCTTTGAGGCTCTGCTGAAGAGCCCTGCATGCTACACTCTGCAGGAACTCAAGCTCAATAACTGTGGCATGGGCATTGGTGGTGGGAAGGTAAGGGCTATCTCCTTTTTGGGAATGAAGTTGGAAGCAATCTTTAGTGATTGCCGACTCCCCTGCTTAAGACAACTAGAAGTACACCGGATTCTTCAAGCTTGGTCTCATCAACCTTTGGAGACTTCACAAGCTCTATGAATAGTCTATCCCAGTGTTGAACAGCCCTCACAGTAAAAAATGGGAATTTGTGTTAAAATGGTGTTTTCTTTGCACTTTGTGTGCAGTTGTGTCTGACTCTGCCTTCTTTATACTTTCTCTCCTTGTCATTCTGGCTATTTTTTACACGTGGATAATATCTCCCCCAGAACCTTTTCTTCTCCAGCCTTAATAATCTCAGGGGTCATTATTATCCTTGTGAGTAAAATTCTCCAGTTCTTCAATTGCCCTTGGCACCCTTTGCTGGACGTGCCCCAGTAAATCCATGTGGGAGCCTGGACACTGTGCTTGGATGCATTTCACAGGGCTAAGTAGAGAAGGATCTGACCTTGTGTGAGTGCTTTTTCCCAGAGCAGCCTAGTAGAATTCCTTTGCTTCAAGGGTGTACTGGTAGCTCATGGTCAACTTCCTATCCATATAAGCTTACCTGAAAAGAAGCAAAATGTTCTTGATGGCTCAGTGTGTTCAAGTGTTGCAAAATTACCAATTCTTGCCTGAGACCATTGTGCAAGTGTTGCAGGTAGAGCCAGTTTTATTGTATACCCTGTTGTAGAAACAAGTACCTGTCAGTGATGCCCAAAGTATTTCTCAAGTGGTGGATCTACAAAACACATTACGATTCCTGTAGAGTGATATGCTGGGGATATATAAGCTGATATAAGTATAAGCTGCTTGTTTTATCTTTAGATATTGGCAGCTGCTCTGAAAGAGTGTCACAGGAAATCAAGTGCCCAGGGCAAGCCTCTTGCTTTAAAAATATTTGTGGCTGGCAGAAATCGCCTGGAGAATGATGGTGCCACTGCCCTGGCTGAAGCCTTTGGGGTGAGTACCAAACCAGAGCTGCTTTGACAGCAAATTGGAGCAAGGTGTGATTCAGTGCTAGTGTTAAAGATGGTGCATGGAGAGTTTGCCTCAGCTTGGAGGCAAGAGCTGGTGGTCTGTTCACTAAAGTCATGATGTTTCTTGCTGCTGAAACTGGAGTCTTCAACAAGTGGAGTTAGACTTGTTGACTGAGTGTTTTTGTGACCTAAATTTCCAAACACATAGCTAGTCACTATGTAAAAGTAGTTACCTGAGGGAGAAATAGTCATCTCCTGAGTAATTTAATAGTCCTATTCCTTTTCCTCTCTCTATGCTAGTGGTTGTTGACTGGCACTGGGGTGGGTATCCCAGCTTTTTCTCTTGAGTCCTGCTTTGCTCAGTCATCTGGCAAAAGCAGCCCAGTGTTTTTGCAGGGATCATCTAGTCAGAGCTTGAAGTGTTGCCTGGCTTTCTCTAGCTGTCACTGGCCACTTGCACTTTTATGGGAAGAAGCCAATTCACTGTGATTTGGGCCACCTAATTCCCTCTTTATACTTCAATTGTTGCTGGAAGTGACTTCTGAATTACAATGCATATTGACAATGATATTGCAGGTTACAGGTTGACTTTTTTTGTAAAGAACTGCCTAGATGTGATTTGGATTAATCAGTAATGATGTCAAAAATAAGACTTCTTAAATACTAGATTTGTATGACAATGTGATTTGTGGAGAATCAAAATTGAATGGCACTACCAAAATCGGGTTAATTACTGTGTTATGTGACATGCTGTTTAGTCCATAAACAATATTTGTACTGTGTTTCTTACATGCTTGTTTCTGTGGTCAGTGCTAAAAGTAGATTTTCATTAGAAAATTCAAGTGATGTTGTGTGGTGTATTTCAGTGTTCTTGAGCCACAGGCGAAGAACTCTTGTTTTAAGTTATTTAGAGCAGGCATATAGGACTATGATACTTGTCTCTTTGAATCAAGGTTTTGTATTTATCTGATATTTGCCATGCATCTGTGATTTCACTTACATTTGTGACAGAATTGATGGTAAATAATTCACTCTAGAAGAACCAATGGAGTTTTGAAACTCAAAACAATTTTAAGTAATTCCTAAGAGGGGAGCAGTATACTCTTAAGCTGAAGTTGAATTGAAACTGAATGTTTTCTAAAAGCTTTTTTTGTCTACATCCTTTCCCAGATCATTGGGACTCTGGAAGAGGTCCATATGCCACAGAATGGAATTAACCATCCTGGCATAACGGCACTGGCACAGGCCTTTGCTATCAACCCACTGCTTAAGGTTATAAACTTGAATGACAACACCTTCACAGAGAAAGGAGCTGTGGCGATGGCAGAGGTGAGTTGTTTTAAGCAGTTGTTTTGGGTTTTGTCTCAAGTCTGGTTGGCATTAGCACCTTAGGGTTGGTAGGACCATGTCATGTTGCAATAGGAAAGATGGCATTTCAGAAGTAACAGAATGTTCACTTACTTGCATGTCCACTTTCAAATTTCTGTCTTTCTCTGCAGACTCTGAAGGCACTTCGTCAGATTGAAGTGATCAACTTTGGGGACTGCCTGGTCCGTTCCAAGGGTGCTGTTGCTATTGCTGATGCTGTTAAAGAAGGGCTTCATAAATTAAAGGTATTGTCTGCTTGCTGTTCAGCTCTTTTTAAAAATGCCAAGTTTTCAATTTCATGTTGTTCTGTTCATTCTTCTACTACTACTGATTACTTTAAGATAGGATTTGGTGCAGGCTCTGTGCTGACACCAGAGAAGCAGCAAGCTGTGATATAGGTCAATGGCACTCCACCATCCTGTGAGGGCTGTGCTATGTGGAGGTGTACCAGTGATCTGGTTAGTCTTTGCTTGATGTTTTTTCAGCTGTTGGCTCAACTCAGTAAGTGCTATTCAAAAATCTGATAATGGAAGTACCTGCAACTTCCCAGAACTTCAAGAGTGGGAAGTGACATAAAGAGGGCTTCATGAGCAGCTTGTCTTTTCAGCATTTCATAGCTCATACAGTTGATGCTTTTTCTTTGTTAGAGCATCAGTCAAGGGTCCAAGTATTTTTAGTTTTTTGGTGATACTACAGCCTGCTACATCAGTGTTTGCAGGACTTGAATCTGACAACATTCTGGATAGGCTGAAGTCAAATTAATAACGTAAGCGAACTAGGATCTTTAGAAACACCTGCCATGAGTCATAACTACCCTGAGATAGATGCTGAGCACATGATTCCTAATCTTGCAATCAAAGACAGGAATTAACCTAATACCTCTTTGTGTGTATGAACCTATAGAAAGAAGTAGGTTCTTTGTGGTATGTGATCCCTTGCTTGGGCTTCTGCTGGTTCTACTGGAACTTGTCTGAATCTCCCAAGCAAACTTAAGTAATGGGGTATTGAGATGAACAGACAGAAGTTAAATGATTTTTCCCAGAGTAGAAATGGTTACGGGAAGGTAGCATGGAGCAATTGCAGCTGATTCATTCTGTTCAAGGACTGCTTCCCTTCTCCTGTTAATATTCAATCCCTTCTCAGGAAGGGATTGATTGAGCATAATGGTGGGGGATGGTGTCTGGCTGTTGAATTAGTTGACTCGTACTAGTCCACATGATTTCTCTGTTGGCTGGATCTGCCAGAAGTAGTACCACTCATGGCTTTTTTTTTTTTCTTTTTTTTTTTTTTTTTTTTTTTGAAGGCCTTAACTTGCAACTGAGGTGTCAAAGGAAATGTGCTGTCTGTTTAGTACAGTAGCTGCCCTTTTTCTGTTAGACTTACTGGAGTGAGAGTTTTCAAGTGCTCTTGAGACCCTTGATAAGTGAAGATCTCGAGTCAGCTGACTGCTAAGGACTGAAATGTCTGCCACCTTTTAAGTGAGCAGTGATTTGTAGGTGTTTTAAAATTGCCACCTTTAATAATGCTGCTCATAACTACCAGTATGTTTCAAAACTCCCCTTTCAAGTATATGAGGTAGCAGTATGTCAGGCTTTATTTTTGATGGATTTTTTTTTTTTGCTGGGAGCCTCTTCAAATTAGTCTTTCCAGGACACTTGTGAGGACATAAAATTTATGGATACAATAGATCTTAATAGGAGTTCTGCAGACAAAATGTCCTTCTGCATTTTTAGGAACTGAATTTGTCTTTCTGTGAGATCAAGCGAGATGCTGCTCTGACTGTTGCTGAAGCTATCGAAGATAAGACAGAGTTGGAGAAGTTGGATCTCAATGGTATGTAGGTTTGCTAGATCAAAATATGTATAGTTTGATTCCAATAAGAAACCACTAGGAATAATGTTAATGGAATCATATATTCTATTCTTGGAATTGTCAGCATATAAAAAACAGTACTCAGTAGCTGAACTTGCATGACCTTGGGATGGGAAGTGGTTAGATCCTGAAAGTTTTCTTAAACCATGAACTCAGTTAATTGGTAAGCATTTTTTAGTGCACCTGCTAAGGTGCAAAGATTAAGCTGATAGCTTTTCAACCTCTTTTCAATTAAACTCCAATTATTCATCAGTGCTATCTCAGATACTCCATACTTGTAAACAAAAACATTTATGTGCAGCTCTGCAGAAGAGTGTGGGTACGTTGGCTTTTGCTGTTCATACCTTGGGTCAATGCATTTTGCTGGTGCTGTGTTGCGTCTTTGTTTTAGAATCAGTAAGAACAAGAGATATCTAGAGAAATAATAGGAAGTCTCTCAAACTCCTAAATTGTTAGGAGATTTTCATCTCCAACCATTGTGTAATGCTACTGAAATTTGTTTAACAACTGTTTGATTCTGTCTGATAAGTGCAGTTTGTGTTGCTGCCTCTAAGGCCTTGTGCAGAAATGGCATGTAACCTTTTTGATTTGACAACAATATACAGGTGAGTCCTCAAGAACAAACTTGTGTTCATCTGTCAAGTCCACTTTCCTCTGTCAACCTAGGTAACTGTCTGGGAGAAGAGGTGTGTGAGCAGCTCCACGAGATCCTTGAAGGCTTCAATATGGCATCAGTGCTGGGGTCTTTGAGGTAGGCATGGTACCAGAGTTTAAATCAGAAGTTTTCCGACAAATTTCATCAACACTTTAATTGGCCTATTTAATTTTAAAATAACTCTCTCATTGCTGGTGGATGTTGATCTGAGTGTGGAGCACAGCCAAGAATATGTATTAAACGTGTCTTGTTTTCATTGATGGGCTCACCTCAGCATAAGTAACTGATTGTGTTTGTTGATCTTTTATTGCTGTTCTCTGGGTGAGTGATGTCTGAGTGTCCTCTTAGTGTGTTGTAGGTGAGATGTGCTTCTTGCAGTAGGACTTTGAGGAGAGGCTGCTCTTTTGTTCTTGACAAGTTTTGAATTCCAGTGTACAGGAATTCCAGGTGTGTAATTAATGGAAAATGTAACATTCTAACTTTAGTGATGATGAAGGGGAAGAGGATGATGATGATGAGGAGGAAGATGAAGATGAGGAGGAGGAAGAGGAGGAGGAACAGCAACAGCTGAAGGAGAGGGGAACGGAAGAACAGGAGTCACTGACTCCTAAGAAGATAATTGATTCACAGGTAAGCTTACTGCCGGCTGGATTTTTGGTTTCATCAGCTGGAGAAGAGTAAAGGAGGAAATGAGATTGTGGAGTCTGAACTTGAAGGGCTGAGAGGCAGTCACATTTCTGCATGGGCTGGCACTATTTTACCAGGGAGATAACATTCAGGAAATAAAATGGATTAGTTGAAAAATGTGTTTTGCTGAAATGGGCATGTTGTACACATGCATGGAGGGAAAAGGCTGAGTAGTTGTTGTAGCAACACATGGGTAGCAAGTCTTCCATGTTCAGGAAGTGGTGGGGACAATGCAGTGCCATGCCCTTGTGCTAGCATATCCTGACCACTTCAGCTCAGGGCTTAGGTCAGCTTCAGGCTATTTTCAAAGAGAACAGATTCTGTCCTGGTATAGCTGTGCCCTGACCTGTCCCATTTGCTTTTGCTGAACCAATTTATTTACTTCCAAGAATAAATTTGAGATGGATTCCACCTGTTTCAGGCTTCAACTCCTGTGCCATCTCCTCCTGTGGATGTTGCCACCTTCCTTGCTTTCCCATCACCAGAGAAGCTGCTGCGACTAGGACCAAAGTGCTCTGTGCTGATAGCTCAGCAGGTAGGTGAGCTGGTGTTTGTCTGGGCTTGATTTTCCCCTCAAAATTGTTTAATTGCCAGAGCTGATAACTTGATCTAGATTTGCATCTTCAGTGATCCCAAAGAACATTATGGAATCAGATGATGCAGCTAATGCTTAAACTGGCGTCAGAGCTTCTACATAAAATATTTTTTGTGTTGCTTGTGCCTTGTGATATGGCCAAGGCAAAGCTGATGTCAGTCAGCTGAAGACTGTAATTCTTTCCATAGCTGTCTAGCAGTTAACTGATCTCTATTTTTTTCCCTTCCAGACAGATACATCTGATGTAGAGAAAGTAGTTGCAACCCTCCTAAGAATATCCTCAGTCTTCAAAGATGAGGCCCCAGTGAAAACAGCAGTGCATGAAACAACAGGTGATTAGCCCTTTCTTCACATTGCGGTGTGACCTGGTTTAGTGCCATAGACAGCTTTGCAAGGTGGACAAGGCCCCTGTGAGCCAGGCCATTGGGCCTTTTTGCCCCTGGCAGGTAACAAAGTGTCAAGCTGTGCCCTGCTGTTGTGTAGAGTGGAAAGTTCATTCTGAACTTGGCATATTTTGTGCTGCCAAAGCCTGTCCCTGTTGTAGTTTCCTCATGCTGCCCTTACTGCATCTCCTGGATGCTGGGCTGTCCATAGCCACTAGTTCTGTGTTTTAAGGTCAGTTACCTTTCCAAGGCTGTTTATTTAAAAAGTGTTTTGCAGGAAGTAGCCTCCCTAGTGTAGTGTTATGAGATTGTAAAGAGAGACCTCCTAGTTGATGTCTCTTATCTTTAATTTCTTCACGAAACAGAGATTTCCAGCATGGGGCAAGACACAGAAACCAATGTTCCAAGAAGGGACCATTTCTCACACTATATTGGAGTAGTAGTTTGGGTTAGGTCTGATTAGTGTGTGGACTACTAGTATATCCCTTCATGATTTTGCTTGGAAATAGGGATTTCCAAACAATCCTGGGCATCTGACCACTGTCTTTTATTTTTTCAAATCCCCCAGCAGTTCAATTCTCCCACATGTGAGCTACCCATCATTACTGTGCAAAAGAATTTGATCAATTATTGTGAAGACCACTTGAAGTGGTTTGGAATTCATAGACATGTGAATCTTTTGTTTTACAAACAGTAACACAATAGCTCTCTGCAGTTGGTTATGGGTTGAATCAGTGAAAAACAGTCAGTTGGCACTTCACTGAGCTAGAGCACCTTGTCTCATGCCTGTTATGAGTTGTCTCCAGTAAAAAATAGAACAAAGGGTATTACTGATGTCCCAAGTGTGTTTGTTTACATATTTATCTTTATTCCTGCTTCTTCAGGAAAGATAGAACCTGGCAATTAGTTTCCTTCCATAAAAGCAGTCATCAGCTGACAGTGAGGGCCCTGGTTAATGTCTGGCACTGTTCTACAGCCACTCTAGTGAATTCTGCCAGTTCTAAGAAAACAGAATTGTCAGAGGTAAAAAATGGGTTACCTTGCCACCTTGTACACGAGAGGTTAAAGCATTGGTTTGCCCATTGTTTGTGGCATAGTATTAGTCCTGAGGGAGCCCAGAAAACAACTGAACAAACTTTGTCATTGTTTTCTCTCATTCTTTGTGGTTTCAAATGAAAGGTGAATTGTTGCTGGCCTTTAAGAAGTCAAGGCTCTACGTCTTGATGAGCTCTAGTTTATCTGCTCATGTTTGTATGCATACACATAGCATGCATACTCAAAAGCACTGAGCAGAGCATCTGGTGGTGCATAGGACTGGGGTGCATTGCATCTGAAGATTGGTGGTGTGGGAATTATGTGGGCTTTGTGTGTTTTGCTGGATGTTCTAAATTTTGTTTTTTCTCCTTTTTACTTAAGGGGTTTTACCTGTCTTAATGTTTCAGAGCTTATAGCTACAGAGACAAGTGAAATCTTAACAGATACTGTATCACAATACCAATTTAACAGCTGAGTTTCTGTATGATCCATTTTCATCTTAAAATCCATAAATGTCTTTTTTCTGTGTTGATTAAACTAATGTCCTTATCTCTTTTTAGATGCCTTGATGAAAAAAGCCTTCAGTTCTGCCACATTTAATTCAGATGCATTCATCTCAAACCTCTTGGCCCACATGGGACTACTTAAGGTGAGGAAGCAGCAAAGAGTTAATTCATGGCCTGTTTAGGCTGTTGAAGGCCAGACTGGCAGGAATTTGGGTAATTATGTTGCCATGGAAGCGGGTGGGTGCCTGTGCATGCCTGATGCCCAGGGACAATGGAAGTCTTGGGTCCAGCAGAAACTGCAAATTGCAAGGTTGCATTAGGATGAAGGATGTGTGCCTTTATGTAAATCTCCTGCTTAATGTGTTCTGCATTCTCAGTCATTCCCTTAAGGTAGGGAGGCTCAGGTAGGGCAGTAATGCTGCTGCTGGACTATAAAAGCCATGTCAATGTTATTAGTTACTGGGGTCCTTTAGGGCATTTTTGAGAGCATATCTCAAAAAATGAGTATTATCTACGCATGCCAGATCAATGGCATTCAACATCATGCTTTGGAGACGCTTTGCCAAATGCTAGTGTTAAGTAGTTAGTTGCAAGGAATAAACTTACTGTGAGAAGATGGAGGGTCAGTAGGAAGCCTGTGATTTTCACAGAATTAGTAGCTCTAGTTTCAGTGAGGTGGGTGTGAAGAGATTATCTCTGCCTTAAAACACCTTTGCCTGCTTGTACTACAAAAGTTAGTGTTTCTCACTGCCTCAAGACCTGGAAGCTGAGAATATAAGCTTGGACTAAGACAATTCTAAACTACAGGAAAGCCATAATCTGTTAGAGCAGCCTGCTATTAAACAGGTTTGTGAATGTCCTTCTGGTAGTCTCCAGCTTGGTGTTCAGACCCTTGTTGACATGTGTGCATATGACTTAATTTCCTAAAAATCACTTTAGCCTCTTTCTATATTCACTGCATACTGGACCATCACTGAGTGAGCTTCCCACTTCCCAGAAAGTCAATGGAACCTAAGGTGGTATTTCGTTCTGCAGAATGCCTGTTTTGAGGACTACCACCTACCTCTTGCCCATGTGGAAAATAGCAATATACATGAGGCACAAAGCACCAACCTGCGCTCCTGAAGAATTCTTTCAGGACAGGAAGTGATAGAGCCCTGGAGGATCAACCTGCTGATTCACATCTGTGGTGTGCCTAATTCATCCCTAGTTCCCTACATGTGGTTAAGGTGCATACTCCATTTTCAATTCTATGTAGCTAGAAGCATGTGAGCAACAGATATTCTCTATACTGTGAACTCCAAGGTCATACGGCAGGAACACGGGTCTGGGTCCTGTCTGCAGAATGATGAGTTTTGTTGAAATGCCAGTAGAAAGATACATTAAAACAATGTAAGAGTTGGGACACATAGGGTAGCATCACATTGGGAGTAAGAAATAACTTCTGCATCATGTATGCAAGGGGATGTTTTGGCTTTAGCTTGTACATAACTGTGAGACCAGTTCTGGGAGCGCTGCATCAGGTTCTGGAAGGAGCCTGTCAAAGAGCTGGAGGTGGCACAAAAATGAGCTACAGAATAACACAAAAATTTTTACGGCAACTGAATTCTTTATGGACTGAAGTCTGGTGAAATTCCTCAGGAGAACACTTGGACACATCCAAATCTTCTCAGAGGTTCTGTTTCACTTGCAGGTTCACTACTTCCCTTTCCCAATTAGTAGTATTGTCAGTTGATAAGTATTAGAACGTTCTTGATATATTATTTCAGGTGCTGGGAGATGATGGAATTTGCTACCTTTGTCTTGTACTTAATCTAGTGACCAGCTTTCTATCCTGCAGTATGTGGGAGCACTTCATTCAGCTGAGAATTCCTTGGCTGTGAATTACAGTGGGTTAAATCAAATCCCAGTTCTCTGATGTCTGATTTCTTGTCCATTTGTCAGAGTGAAGAGAAGATCAAAACTGTACCAAGCCTCTATGGTATTCTTATGACCTTGAACCATATGGTCCAGCAGGATTACTTCCCTAAATCCTTGGCCCCAGTTCTCTCAGCTTTTGTTACAAAGTGAGTATTGTATTTGCCATACCATCTTCTCTTTGGGAGCTGGTGCAACTGTTTAGGGTTAATAGCTGCATGTAAGCTTTTGTGAAAGCCCACTGTTCTGTTCTGAAACTGAGAATTAGTAGCTTAATAGGCCTCTATTTTATCTTGTTTACTGCAGTATGTGAGGTTCAGAATTTAAAAAAATCCTAAAGAGGGAAAAGTGGGAAGTTGGCTTTACAAGCAAGTGGCTCTGAAGGAGAGACTGCTAATACCTTTCACAAAAGAGCTGTTTTGAGCTTAAGGAAACCTGCTGGGTTTTTGGCCATTGTATGAATGAACTGTGGGTACACTGGGTCTAACTATGCCCTCCAAGTCATCCTTCAGACTTAAGAAGGTCAGCAGAGCTCTGCCAGAGTTGTCATGCTGTGTGACACTGAGCACTAGCAGAGGAAAATTGCAGAACACAAAGGCTGAATTTGTTTTTAAATGGAACATCCTACTGTGACAGCAACAAAGTTAGTGATTTTTCTGAGAACTGAATGGGGAGCATAAGTACTGAAGAAGCTGCTTTTACTGACTCCTTGTACTGAATGTTGTTACGTCCACAACATTCAGTAACATTCCATAACATTACTTGGTATAGAACCAACCCCTGCCCCCACTTTTGCTTCTTTAATGTATTAAATGGCTATGGAAACCATATCTCTCCTAAAGTAAATCAGTGTCAACTTCAGTATTGATGAGATTTAGGGGAAAAGACCCACAAAATAGACTTGCAATAGGATTGCATACTACTGTTCAGCAGTCAGAGGAGAAGCAGTCCAGAATTGTCACACCAGGCAAAACAGCAGAGGCCTGAAATATATTTGGCGCTTGGTGGCTGGCTCAGCATGGACCATGTTCTGTGTAGGGTGAGAGCAGCTTTTAGCAGGTTCCAGAATGAGGCTTAAGACTTCCTGAATTTCATGGTATATGGGTTAGCAGCAGCTGCTTAGGATCCCTTGCTAGTGAAAGGTGGAGGCATCAGTTATGTTCAGTATGAAACATGGACAGTAGGAATACAGTCAAATACTGGTAGTCTGTCTTCGTTCTTCTGTGCTTGGAAGCTGGACAGTTGTGATGGGGAAAAAGAATTTTTCTGACTATTGATGTGGCTGAAGCTGTCAAAACTGATATATAGCAGTGGCTTGTGTCCATAAACTCCAGCCATGCATGCCAATGTGAGTTTTGGAAAATAAAGTATCTTGTTTACACATGTGCATATACTAACTGGAGGCCCTTCTTGTGGAACTCTTTGCCTGATGCCTCCTGTCTTTGTATTGATCAGATTAAGGCACTTAGAGGCTAGTGACCATGTGCTTTACCAAATGAACAAATACACCTCCAACTTATTATAGGTTTAAGCAAGATCATTATAGGTTTAAGCAAGAAATGCCAGGACTTGCCATGTGAAGGTATCCAGCCATATCACTGAACTTCTGCTGTTTCCTACACTGCTGCCTTTTTCTTGCTTATTGATCGAGCCCCAGCCCTCAAAATGGAATTTAAATTGCTAGAAGCTGAGAATACAGGAGAAAGACTTTGGTTCAGGGCATTTGACTGTCCTAATTGTTTATGTCAGGTAGCAATGCCCAGAGTAGCCTCTTAATGCTAAGTGTCCTAACAAATTTTGCTCAGAAAAGACAATTGTCTTCCCTCTTCCTGTACATGTAGGCTTTTCCCAATGAATGTTCTTAAGCTGTAGTTGATGCTGTATGTGACAAAATAAAGATTAAAATTTTCATGTTCATGAATTCATCAACACAAACCCTATTAAAGCCAGAGCCAGCATTTCACTACATGAACAAGAGGTGAGAGTCTCTTGGTGGAGGTATGAGACTGTTCACAGGTTCTGTAGAAGCTGAGTGAGAGCTGAGAGCCTCCCTTGTGGAAGGCAGATCTTCCTCTCTTCCTCTCATATGTGTCAGTGGTAATGCCAAGCCTCCACCGGTGTGCTATGAAATGCTTGGAGCTGAAGTTTTCTGCTTTATGAACTTGTTCCAAGCTGTGATTTTATAGGGAAACTTTTGTCTTGCATAATGAAGTCCAGCTAGAAACAAGCCGTCTCTTTGTTATATGAACACAGGCCTTTCTTACAATTCTTTCCCTTAAGGGAACAAGGACAACAGCTCTTAAACCTGTGTCTGGGTAAATGTAAACTGTTCAAGAACCCCACAATCCAGTTCAAACAGCCTGTTGTGGTTTCACCCCAGCTGCTAACAAAGCCCCACACAGCCATTTACTCTCAAGCCAGTGGGATGGGGAAAAGAAGACTGAAAGTGAGCAAACTTGGGGATTGACATGAAGACAGGTTAATAGGTAAAGTAAAAGCTGCATCTGTAAGCAATGCAAAACAATAAATGAATTTATCACTCCCACCATCTCCAGGAAGGCTCCATCACAGCTAACTCCTTCCTTCTGCTTTATCTGATAAGCATGATGCTGTGTACTATGGAATATCCCTGGGACAGCTGGGCTCAGCTGTCCTGGCTGTGTCCCCTCTGGCTTCTTGTGCACCCCTGGCCTACTTGCTGCTGGGGTGGGGTGAGAAACAAAGTGCCTTGATGCTATGTGAGCCCTGCTCAGCAGTAGCTGAAACATTCCTTTGTCAGTAGCCCTGCTTCCAGCACAAATCCATAACACAGCCCAACCCGTGAAGAAAATTATCCCAGCCAAAATGAACACACAACTTCTCAACTAACCTCTATCCCTTGTCTCTTCTTGGGATTCAGTCAGAGTAAAATTGCAATCCTAAAGTTGAACCTCTATCTGGTTAACCTAGTAATACTCAGAACTCATCTGGCCTCTGTTTCTGCAACAAATCTAATTCCACTCTGTCAAACCTATGATTCCTTCTCTTGCAGAAAAATAATATGCATTTTTGTGGTATTTTTTTTTATTCTGTTTGGTTTGTGGTTAGCTATTCTGGGCTTTTAGAGCTGTAAAGTTCTTGTAGCTGCCTAGGCCAGAGCTCTCCTGTCTTTCACTGCAAGAAGGCTTCTGGAATAGGCACTTAGGTCCTTCCTTTTGTGACAATTTGTTGTTGTAGGCAGTGTTCTCTGTTCAATAATAATTACACAATTATGGATAGAGACTGTAAACAGCATCCATCTAGCTCTGCTTGCTGTCAAGCCTTTTTTGGACGCAAGAGGGTGCTGTGAATCCACATGCGCTTTTCCATAATTTTTTAGGTGGAAATACTGAAAGTATGTGGATGTCTGCCTGCCCACTTGAGACTTGCTGGAGGTGATGGAGTTTGTGTTTAGTTGATTTTTTGAGTTTTTTTATGCTGCTCTTTACTATTGAATTGCATCACATCACTGGTCTCTTCCAACAGTCTGTAGCATAGAGTGGCAGGCAGGTTTTGGATTGAGACTGGTAAAAGTTTCAGTGATGTTGAACCAACAACTAGCCTGCAGAAACAGAAATAGAAATGTACATGAATTTTCTGCATGTATATGAATATATTTTATAGGTTTTAGAAAACTAGCATAGTTGATAAGAAACACCAATTAGGAGGACAAGTGGTGATGCAATTCCCCCCTAGGTCAAGCCACTTCTCTGAAGCCTCCCCTTAGCACTAGTTGTACTTTGTCCATGAAAATGTATCTTGAAGAGTTGTTCTCAGCCTTTGTTCCCAGGAAGAACCAAGATAGTATGGAATCTTGTACCTCCTGGGGCTTGGTGCTCTGGAATTTTTGTTTTTCTGCTTAAGGAGAGGTCATGGAAAAGTACTGGGAAAACAGGTCATTTATACAATAGATTACAGAGGTGCAAATACATGTGTGAAGAATACATGTGTGTAGAGAACATATAAAAGAAAAAAAGGCAAAACCTAAAGGGCATCAGCCCAGCAAAGCCAGTCAGCTGTTACTTGACCTCAGGGAAGAGTAACAGGAGGTTATGCTGCTTCTTTTAAAGACTTTTAAAATCTTGAGACCAAAGTGACCATCTGATTATAGATAGCAGATGACTTGGTGAGAAAAGATTGGAGTGCTCGCAGGATCATCTCCTGTGGTTTGGGGCCTCTAGACAATGAAACTTGGTGGGAAAAATCCATTGCTGGAAGAGGGGGACGGGCCTTTCCACCTCCATCATTCTACCCAGAATGAGACACTGGGCTGCAGAGATAAAAGTCAGTAGCAGATTGTTTATAGTTATTGAAATAAATGTTCTGATTCTAGGCCAATGTCTTCCTGACTTGGACTCTAAGGAGAGAGAGTTTTCCACAGCAGGCTCTGAATGGGAAGCAGTGATCTGGGCAGCAGTGATGGAATCATATTGGAAAAGATAACTAAGGGCAAAATCTGTAGGTTTTGGGACATACACATCCAATGCATTGAAAATGGTATATATTTGCTTAGTCAAAGGCAGACACAAAACCATTCTTAAATTCAGTATTTTAAATCTCTCTCTCCCTTCTTTCCACAGGCCCAACCGTGCTCTTGACTCCTGTTCATTTGCTCGCCACATGCTCTTACAGACCCTCCACCAGCTGTAGGAGACAAGAGATGTGCCCTTCCTTCTCCATAGGACTGTCATCAGCAGAGAACTCAGAGTCACAGAGTGGGAGAGGATCCCAGAGCTTCTCAGACATGCTGTCCTTTTCTCTTTTTCCCCTGCAGGAAATCTGTCATTCCTTCTGCTTTCATAAACTTGAACAAATCCAGTTGAAATGTCCTCCTGCTCCTCTTGGTGATTCCCTGGTCTGTAGGGCAGATGCTTACGCTAAAATAAGTCTAAACTGCTGTGAGCTCAGCATGATTTGAAGAGTTCTCCATTTTGGTTGCATTGGCAAGGGTGCCAAGACTAACACAGGGCCCAGAAGAGCTCTCATCTGGATCTACCCAGTTGGGCATTTTATTTTATTGGACTTTGATTCTTGCCTTATAGCATTTAGCACTGTGCCAGAGGGAAGCTCTGCTGCTGCTACTGCCCTGCTTCTCTGGGCCAAGGGGTTGCTGCTCATGGCTCAGAGGGGTGAGGTGTGATCCCCTTTAGTTCTTCTTTCAAGTCTGTTGTCAAAGGCAGTGTGTGGCCGATGTTTATTTTAATATACTCTTCCCCTTCTGCTGTGGCTTGGAATATTTGTGTAGTGTGGCTGATCCTGGTGGCCATTGCTTAAGGGAGTGAGCGTATTTTATTGTAAATTTTTTTTTTTGCCATTGCCTGTGTTGTTTATTCTTCCTGCCCTTTTCCTTCTCACCCTAATTAAATAGACTTGGTTTGGAAATAATTATAATCCATGAAATCCCAGTGGAACGTGTCTCCCTTTCTCTTCCCTTTGACAAAACACTGGGCCTGTGTACACTGTTCATATGCTTGAGAGCCAAGCACGTGTGAAAATATGGAGAAGGAAGGTTGTGCTTTTCTCCGAACAAGTAGCAGCAGGTGCCCCTAAATCTGTCTGGAGGGTTGTCCATATGCCCATACGTGCCTTGGAACCACCATGACATTCCTCCATACAACTTACAAATGTTTATGTTGGTTGCCTGAAATGTTATGTAAATAAAAATTAACTCCACAGCCTTATCATAATTTATAAAACGTACACTGGGATTTGGAATCCTGTTTTGCAGCTTTATGTGATTGCAGAGTTTGCAGTGGAACACAAATGGAGCCTGGTTTGTGTGAGGAGAGAGGCACCAGTAAAGAGAGAGGGAGCAAAGCTAACAAGTCAAATTTGTTTCTGCAGCACCCCATCTCTTTTCTTGATGGTCTCCTGCTCCTGTCCAAAACAGGAACATGGCAGAGGAGCAGGTTTCCCTCCAGGCATCTTCAAATTCCTAGCAGAGTCTAAATAGGAAAAGCAGTGCCAACACTTATTAGCAGTAGGTTTCTACTCAGCTGTAAGTAGTGTGAAGTGAACACTAAACTTGTTACTGTCCCACATTCCCAGGCTGAGGTAAATTTAAGCACTTAATCTCATTGGCTAAAAAACCAGGCTGGAATTCACAGGAAACTGAGCTTTCCTTAAGAATGATTGAACTAAAAACTCCATCACAAGTCTTTCTGATGTGATCTCATGCACAGCCAAGATTTGGCCAGCCCATATATTGCTGGATTTCCCTCTGGAATGCTGTGACTTGATGCTGTGACCATTTGAATCCTGATTTTTTTTCCCCATCTCTTATCAACTTGCATGGAGTAGTTCTTGAATTTTGCAGTGGTTGTGAGAAAATAAATGTAATTAAAGGCCAGATCTGTCAGGCAGAGCTCCATGGACTTACTGAGTTTGTACTGCCCCTGCATTCTTAAAGGTCAGATGGTTTCAGACTCATGATAGCAACATGACATTTAGGGCTTTGGCCAGATTCCAAGTTGGTGTGGTCAGACTTGCTTTTCTTTAGAATTTGAGGCTTATTAGCTTATATCTACTAGCCCTTGGTAAATATGCAAAATGATATTTTTAAACGTGGCCTACCTAGCAAACAGAACACTTGGCTTGTCAAAATGTGTCTGTGCCTTGCTCTTTCAGCACAATGGCTTTGTATGGAGTCCTCCCTCAGTGATTTTGCAAATCTACAACTTTTACAACGTACTGTGGTTGTGGGTGCAAAGCTCACAAACAGGTGAGGAAAATGGAAGCTCCAGCTCAGAATCTCAGCCACTGTTCTGAGACTGCAGATAGGATTTTTTTCCAGACAAAAGGGCTGTTGTAATGTTAGCATGTTGTAGCCTATTCTATAGCACAGCAACACGTCTCTTATGGGCCTCATTTTCCTGAAGATGAGAACAAAATCATTTTAGATTAATTTTGGCTTGTTAGAATTGTCAGAGTCCCCCACTCTTCCACAATTTGATTCACCTTCCTGAGGAAAGAAGCCTTTAGATCCAGCAGCTGACAGGAAACAACTAATGGTGATTATTTGTATAATCTAAAAGTACTTTCTCTTCCTTTCATTTGGGAACACTCGCACTCTCCCTTTGTCCTGAGTTCAGCTGCACAGCAGCCAAACTACATCACTCAGTTATTTCATTAGTCTTTTAGGAAGGGCAAGACAAGCAAGAGAGCAGGGCTGGAATAAGAAAGGCTTAGTTTCAGAAGGTGTGGAAATTTCAACTTAATCTGAATTTCAAATTAATCTAAGAAACATAAGAAAAAATATTTAATATTCCTGACTGTAGAATGAGCAGGAGCAGAAGCAAAAAAATGATGGGTAGAATTCTTTTAAGTTCATTAATACCTTAGGAAGAAATTCTGCTGTCAAACATCATCTCTGACTTCTTGCAAGCCTGTGAAACTAACAGAGGTTCTGGGTCCTAAAATGCGGCTTTCGGGGATCACTTGTGGCTGTCCCCCGTCCCTCCCCGCCCCCCCAGGACCCCTCCGGCTCGCTGTCCCCTCAGGGGACTGGGGTTTGCCACTGTCCCGCTGCACTGGGCTCACCAGGCAGTGGCTGGGTTGGCACAGTCCGAGCGGCGGCGTGCCTCGGTCGCTGCAAGGATTCAGGATAAAGAAACGAAGAGAGGTCAGTTGTGTGCAGTCCAGAGAGATTGTATTGCCTGAACGGTTGCAGGGACAAAAGACCCTGGGCTACTGCCCAGATACAGTTTTATACAGTAAAATTAAGATATAAGGTCTAAACAATAGAGACAGTGTCCAGCCTGGGCTCATCAGAACCACCCCAGGGGTCAGGTCCAATGGGAACTGCTCAGGGGTGGGGAAAAAGGGGTTTACAGAAAAATGCTGAAGCGAAACTTTCCCAAAACAATGGGGCATACATAAATGTATCTTTTCCTCAGTTTCCCATTCCCAAGGCCTTTCTAAAACCCTTCCTCCACACTACCGCGCCAGCGCGATAGCAACACTAAAATACATCAAATGCTGAAGAAAAAGCATAAATGGGAAATCCAGTTTCATCAAACTTTCCAAAATCATGCTATCAGTTAATTATTCAGTCTTTTCATTAAATCACAGAATCCCAGGATGGTTTGGGTGAATGGTTTGGTTGGAATGCTTTGGTTGGAATGGTTTGGTTTTTAAAGCTCATCTCATTCCCCTCATGGGTAGGGACACATTTCACTATCCCAGGCTGCTCCAATCTCTGTCTAGCCTGGCCTTGGACACTTCCAGGGATCCAGGGGCAGCCTGTGCCTAAACAACCTGTGCCAGGGCCTCACCACCCTCACAGGGAAGAATTTTTTGTCTTCAAGAAAAATTACATGGCTGATCCAAGTTTTTCACAATTGCCCTTTTTAAAGCAGCAGAGAAAACTCACCTAGGAAATAAAAATCTATTCTTAAAAGCGTATAAATTTATACTTTCTGAGTGAATGTAGGATCTGTGACCATGCCACACTTTTTCCCCCTAAGGAGGTTTTTTTTTTTCAATGAAAGATTTGTATTTATGTGATCCCCCCTAAAAGAAATAGAAAATTAGATAACACAAATATGCAGTTATAAATCAGTTAGGGCTATTCTACCTAAAATTTATATCCACAAGCTATGGAATAATACATCATCCTCTACTCATCTACCCCCAAAAAAGTTATTAACCATTAGCAGCCATCAAATCCCATCTCAGAGCTCTGCTGGGAGGGATGCCCATTCTTCAGAGGTCTGCTGCAATCCAGAACTGTCCACATGGTGTGACTCAGCTTTTAAAGGTAATAACAACCGAATTTTGTCTGTCTTCAAAGGAAAGATCTTTTCTGGGGGGATGTGGTGTTGGTACTATGTGTGTTTTTCTGAATAGTGGTGATGACAGATTTTTTAAAATTGATTGTGGATTCTGAGTCTCATTTTTTTCTGAAGAAAAACCCCATATTCTAGATCTTTCATTTAGATCTCAAAGTGCTGAACAAAGGTGTATTCCACTTTGGTTAAGACCTGGCTTTGCCTGTTGCTTTTAGGGAACATAAAATATTTCTGGTTTTAGGTTGAAAATTGTTCCTTGCATTTGTCGGGCTTTTGAAAAGGCTGAATAAACTCCTAAAGTGGGCACTGTGTAATTGCTGACAAAATCAGCTCCTCTGATCTCAAACAGATGAGATTTGTGGTTTTTCCAATGTCAGCTAAACCTATTCAATAACTGCTGCCATAAGCTGCTACTCCAGTGGGCTCTGGGAACGCAGAGATTGCTCACAACTTCTGGTGGGATAGCAAAGGCCAAAAATGACGGTGGCTCCATCCCCTGAGGCATATTCAAGTCTAGATCCCTCTGACACCAATGGTGTAACTCCTCTGCTTACACAAAATGTCTGTGAAAGTCAACACACTTTTGGCCATCATGAAATTTATCCTGCTTTTTTCCAAAATTTAATCATTTACCAAAGTGGGCTATCCTGACATTGGATTGTTTGAGCCTCTGTGCCTTAAGTCCTGAAATATTTGGAGTTTATTTTACTGAAAAGAATACGTACCATGTATAGTGAAATCATTTGGCTTTTGATAGCCAACTCTCATTCCACCAGTTCAAACATTAGGTGGTTATGGTTATTTATATCTCTTAGACATTCTTTAGGGATGAACACATCCAGTAAAAAAAACAAACAGCCGTGGTGTTCGTGGGTAATTTAAAGCAATTTTTTAAGTTAGGAGAAAACTGTGATCTCATACTATAGGCTGAAAACCCTGCACAGAAATGGAATTTGGTTGGGATGCTGACATACTCTGAGGAAACAGAGATCCACAGCATGCAGGTACCCCGAGCTAGGAAAGGCTCAATTACCTGTCCTAAGGAATTACATAACTTTTTCTGCTCTCATCCTCTATTAGCAAGACACAAACTGAGTCAAAAAGAAATATTTTTTTCAGTACACTCCACTTGTTCTTAAATTTAATTAAAATAATTAATGCCACCAGGATGGGAAGACATCATTTTATAGGAAGCAGAAACTCAGGGTCTACTTTCAGCAAGGTGTTTCTAAATTTTAAATAATAGATTTAAATGAGAAGGTGTTTTTTTTATATATATACCAGACTTCATTGCCTTTTATTTTAGTGCATATTTACATCACTCAGGTTGCAAAGTGAAATCCAGCCTGGGTGTGATGTCACTACAAGACAGAGAACCCATCACATCTCCTGTGAAGTTGTGTGACTGCTGAGATGTTCCCTGGCCTCAGGATCAGTGCTGGGTTCAGTACATGTCTACTAATTTTGAATAGACCTTGTCTCACATAAAACTGAGTCCTGCCACTGTAGGTTATGGAGGATGGCAGTGCACCTCTGTGAGCAGCCTGTCTGGCTCTAAATACGTACTGCAGTGCCATGCCATAGCCATAGATATGCAGGGGAGGTAAGGGAAATACCTTTATGACCTCATGTTATCCATTTATACTCTGAGTCATTAAAGTGGTTGCTTCTTATAAAAGGTATCTTTGCTAGCAGAGGAATATGTGGGCAAATGCTCCCTCTGACAATCAGTGTGCCTTGGATCAGACTCAAAACACACATATTCTTCAAACTTAACTTTCCTTGACTCCTACTGAATTATTTGCCCCCCCAAAAAACATCTGACTCTTCATGAAACTGCAGGCAATGGTGAAATTCCTGTCAAGCAGTGGAGGTCCAGTGTGCTC